CTTCCCCCATCCGCCACCCGCAGTCTCCGCCTGTGAAGCGGTTTCCTAGTGTTTCGAAACCTTTCCTCCTTCACAGCTCCCTCCTACTGGTTCAGGTCCCGTCCCTATTCCTTTTTCCTTTTTTTCTTTTTTCTTTTGCTCTACCCAAGTACATGGGGAGTTTCTTGCCTTTTGGGAGGTCTGAGGTCTTCTGCCAGCGTTCAGTAGGTGTTCTGTAGGAGTTGTTCCACATGTAGATATATTTTTGATGTATTTGTGAGGAGGAAGGTGATCTCCACATCTTACTCTTCCGCCATCTTGAAGCTCCTCTCCTCTATTATTTTATTCTCTCTGTTCCTCCCTTCAGTGTTGTTAATATGTGCTTGATATATTTAGATGCTTTAATGTTAGGTGCACATATATTTACAACTGTCATATCCTCTTGATGAATTTACCTGTTTTAGTATTATATAATGATCTACTTTGTCTCCACTTATGGTTGTTGACTTAAAGTCTATTTGCCTGATATATTGTAGATATCCTTGATCTCTTTTAGCTTCCATTTGCATGGAATATCTTTTTCCATCCCTTCACTTTAAGCTCATATGTATCCTTAAATCTTAAATGAGTCTCTTATAGGCATGTAACTGTGTCTTGCTTTTTTTTTTATCCATTCAGCTACTCTGTGTCTTTTGATTGGAGAATTTAACCAATTAACATTAGAAGTAATAATTGATAGGTAAGGATGCACTATACCAGTTTGTTAATTGTTTTCTGGCTGTTTTGTAGTTCCTTTATTCATCCTAAGTGTTTTCCTTTGTGGTTTGATTTTCTGTAGTAGTGTACTTTTATTTCCTTTTCTTTATCTTTTGTGTATCTGCTAGAGTTTTTTGGGGGGTTACCATGGAGCTTACATAAAACATCTTATATTTATAACATTCTATTTGAAGCTGTTAAGAAGTTAACTTCCACTGCATACATAAACACTATCGTATTACTTCCTCCCCAACATTTTATGCGTTTGATTTCTCAATTTACATCACTTTATAGTGTATCCATTAAAAATATTTTACTCATAGTTATTTTTAATACTTTGTTTTTTAATCTTTATACCAGAGTTAAAAGTGATTTACACACCACCATTACAGTATTACAGTATTTTGAATTGTTCTATATATTAACCATTACCAGTGCATTTTTGTTTTACTTTCATAGGTTTTCACATTACTAATTGTCATCTTTTCATTTCATCTTCAACATTTCTTGTAAGGCACTTCTCCTAGGGATGAACTCCTTCAGGTTTTGTTTGGTGGAAAATAACTCTCCTTCATTTCTGAAGGATGGCTTTGCTGGGTATGACAACCTTTGTAAAAATGCTTGTAGTTTTTTCTACAAGCATTTTTAATATATCATTCCACTCTGTCCTGGCCTGCAAGGTTTCTTCTCAGAAATCCACTGATGGCCCTATGCAGTTTCCCTTGTGATTGACCACTCTTTCTCTTTTTCTGCTTTCAAAACTCCTTGTCTTTGACTTTTGAAAGTTTGACTATAGTATGTCCTGGTAAAGTCCTCTTTTGGTTGAAACTGGGGACTTTTGAGCTTCATGTACCTGGATATCCATATCTCTCCCCAAATTTGGGAAATTTTCAGCCATTATTTATTTAAATAAGCTTTCTGCCCCTTTCTCTCTTCTCCTTTTATCCCCATAATGCATATATTCTTATGCTTGATGGTGTCTCATAAGTCCCATGAACTGTCTTCACCCTTTCATTCTTTTTTCTTTTTGTTCCTCTAACTGGATAATTTCATATTACCTATGCTTGAGTTTTCAGGCTCTTTCTTCTGCTTCATCAAATCTGTTGCTGATACTCTCTATATTATTTTTCCTTTCATTCATTGTATTTTTCAGCTCCAGAATTGTTTTTGTTCTTTTTTTAATGGTTTATCTCTATTTGTTTAACTTCTTGTTTTGTTCCTGATTTCGTTGAGTTGTCTATCTGTGTTCTCTTGTAAATTGCCAAGTTCCTTAAAATAATTATTTTGATTTTTTTTTATAGATCTCTTTGCAGTTGCTTACCAGAATATTGTGTTCCTTTGGTGGTGTTATTTTTCCTTGAGTGTTTGCATTTCTTGTATCATTGCATGGATGTGTTCACATTTGATGTAGCAACCACTTCTTCCAGAATTTATGGACTGGTTTCAGTGGGGAAAGCCCTTCATCTATTGGTGGGTACAAGTCTTACAGTTGGGTGGGAGGAAGCAGTTCTGACTCCAGGGAAGGTGCAGTCTCTGTGCAGCTCTGTCAGCTGTCATCAGCATCAGCAAAGATTGAAGGAGACGTTGGTGGCCAAGGCTGTGGGTGTCTGCAGAAGAAGTGTGGGCTGTTGAGGTCTTCAGTGGTAACGGCTTCTGGGGTCCTCCTGATACCTTTTTCTAGCATGGTTGAAGTCATGGCTGAGGGGATCCTTCGAGGCCCTGGGTCCAGTTTGTGGACACACTTACTGTGGTTGTGTCTATGATGTTTGATGCATGGGTGCCTATGGAGAAGCAATGGAGACAGAGTCTGGAATGGAGGCATGTGTGAAGCCACTGGAGTGGCTCAGGGGTCTAGGGAGGTGGTGGTGTTAGTGCCTGGGGCACAGGCAACCTCACTGCAGTGGTGATAATGGTGTGCAAGGTGCATGCACTTGCAGAGTAGATATGGAGCTATGGTCTGGATAGCAGGCATGCGTGGTGCATGGATGAGCCTGCTACAGTAGTGGCTTGGGTGTTCCATGTTTGAGCACTTGTGAAGCAGCTAATGGACCTGGGTTCTAGAGGGCAGGTACACCCACTGCAGCAGTGCTCTCGTTTCTGTGGTGCAGGCACTTGCAGATTGGCTGTGGATACAGGGTCCAGAGCATGTGCTCATGGAGTGATAGTGTCTCTAGTGTCTGGGCCATGGGATACCCTGCAGTGTCAGTGGCTCTGGTGTCTGAGTTATTGGTGTATGTGGAGTGGCCATGGAGCCAGTTTCTGGAGCATGGGCATGCATGGAGTCTGGTGGCAGGTGCTGGGGTCAGGTGGTAGGTACACATGGAGTGGCCATAGGTCTAGTGTCTAGGGCAAGCACAGTGTTGGGGGGGGCGGTGGCAGCCCTGGTACTGAGGCAGCACAACAGCAGCTTCTTCTTGTAGAGAAGTCTCAGCAGTGTCTCCCTCCCTGGGGAGTCTGTGGCAATGTTGGCTGTTGGTTACTTCAGTGGCAAAAGCTGACAGTATCCTCTACAGAGCAGGCTGCTGGGGTCCACACCAACAAACACTATGGAGTCCTCTGCTGTTAAAGCTACAGAAATTCATGTCTGTCATGGGAGCTGTTGAGATCCTCAGAAGCAAAAGTTGCGAGGATCCTCCACAGAGGAGACCAGGGGGGACTGCATGGGCATCTGCCGCAGGGCTGATACTGATAGCCTTTGCCCTGTTTCTTTGTTCTTAGCCTCTTCAGATGTCTCTGCCATGCTGATTTCCCCAGCAATCCTTTCTGTGTGGTTATTCTCCATTTTTTTCCCCACTGTGTTGCTGCAGGCTCTTAATTACTTGAGCCCCCCCAGGGATATTTTCATTTCTGTATAGCTGTCTGTTGTTTTTTGTGGGGGGGGGCGGGGATAGAGGCTGGTATCTCCTACTCTGCCATCTTTCTGACATCATTCAGTAGGTCTTTTACTTCTTTGTGTCTTGTAACTGTGTGTGGCTTAAAACCTCTTCGTGTGATATTAGTATATCTACCCTTGCTCTCTTTTGATTACTATTTGCTTGGAATAACTTTTTCCATCCTTTCACTTTCAACCTATTTATGTCTTTGGCTCTAAAGTGAGTCATTTGTAGACAGCATAAAGATAGATGATAATGTTTATCCATTATGCCAACGTCTGCCTTTTAATTGGATAGTTTAATCCATTTATATTTCAAATAATTACTCATAAGGAAGAACTTCTGCCATTTTCTATGTAACCTATATCTCATGTTCCTCGATTCTTGCATTACTACCTTCCTTTGTGTTTTTTAAACATTTTATTTGAGTATAATTGATTTACAATGTTGTGTTAGTTTCAGGTGTACAGCAAAGTGATTCAGTTATACATATACATACATTCATTCTTTCTTTTCTCATATAGGTTATCACAGAATATTGAGTAGAGTTCCCTGTGCTATACAGTAGGTCCTTGTTGGTTATCTTATATGTAGTAGTGTATGTTCATCCCAAGCTCCTGATTTATCCCTCTCCACCATGTCTTCCCTTCAGTAACCATAAGTTTGTTTCCAATATCTGTGAGTCTGTCTCTGTTTTGTAAATAAGTTCATTTGCATCTTTTTTAAAATTAGAATCCACATATGAGAGATATCACATGATATTTGTCTTTCTCTGTGTTTAATTTTATTTTGTATGTGTACAATTTTGATCCCATAAATGGGAAAATTAAAACCAGTACTTTCCCTAATGTTTGGAGGCTGTTGAAACTTCTTCCATTGTTTTTTTTCCTACTTTGGAAACTAATCTGTTTCACAGTAGTCACATATTATAAATGCCTGATATGATTAGAATTTTTTATGCACCCTCCCAAACATTGCATGAAACACTTTCATTCAAGGGAACACAATTTGAAAATGATCAATTTAACTATTGTAATTTTTTCTAGTTGTCTCCTAGATTCTCACTGAGTCCTAAATTATTATAGTTTCATAGAATTGAAATAGATGAGTCCTCAGAATCCAAGTGTTTTCTTGTTTCTCTCAATCTATCACCAATACAGATAGTGGTTTCCTAGTCTTAAAGATATCCATGGCTGGTGATTTCACAAACTCCTTCAATAGACTATCTTATTCTTAATTTACATTTATCACTACAAGTCCTTTTTAAAGATCACCCTGAATCTCTCTTTTGTAATGGAAGGTTATTTGCTCCTCTTTTTGCCCTCTTCTTGCCTTATTGGCATTTCTACTTTCCTCTGTTTTTAGCCTTTGTGAATTAACCAGTATTCTTACCTTCTGGTTTGGCTGTTGTGGGAGTGTAAAAATAGACTTCCAGTAGGTCCAGGTAAAGAACACAAAGATGGCATGGTAGAATATGAGGTAGATAACTGAAATTTAAGAAAAAAATCAGTGTTTATATTTTCATCCATTTCTAAGAGTTCAATAAGATGTAAATCTCAACAAATCTCTATTTTGTTTTCCTATTACCAAGTATTTTCTAGTATTATTATGAAAGGTTAATTCTTACCTTTTTCCCATGCAGTGACAGAAACAATTTATAATGCCAAATTTGGAACCAGAGACTTTCTGGAAGTCGCGTATTTTAAAAGTTGCCATGTGATTCTGGGAGTAAAGGGGAAATGTCCTTTATGATAATGTGGGGGAAGCTACTGTTGCCAATTGTCATTCTCTCTGCCACTATGGGTACTGAAAGATAATAATGATAGTATTTGCACAGTGCTATAGAGTTTACAATGTGATTTCATAATATTATCCAATTTTATTTTTTCAACAAGTTTGTGAGATAGGTAACAGGATAAGGACAGTTTATTAACTATCAGGGGTAGTTGATTATCCGAAGTCACACAGCTACTATATAACATAGCCAGGTCTTAAACACAGGACTTCTGACTCTAAATCACAAGTTTTTGTTTCAGTAGCCCCAAAGACTACACACTTTTTTTTTTAATATTTTTTTTATGTGGACCATTTTTAAAGTCTTTATTGAATTTGTTACAATATTACTTCTGTTTTTATATTATGGTTTTTTGGCTCCAAGGCATGTGGGATCTTAGCTCCCTGCCCAGGGACCAAACTCACACCGCCTGCATTGGAAAGCAAAGTCTTAACCACTGGACCGTCAGGGAAGTCCCCAAGACTACACACTTTTGAAATGTGAGTTGTACCTTTGAGACATTTGTGGCTCCCCACCACTTTTGTTTTTATATTCTTTGCCTCCTAGATCGCTCTTCTGATATGGGAAATTTCAGTATTCTTCAAAGAGGTCATTGTAAGACTGAAGGTCATTTTACTGTTTCATTGTGAGTCCTTGCATAGTAAGGTGTGATTACTTCAATCCATCAGGAAGACTCAAGGGAACGATGAGACTCAAGACCAAGTTAATAAGGCTGAGTCTCTCACATATTTATGACGGAATCGAAAAAAGCTGGCCCAGTGCTCCCAGCCCTGTGGTATGAGACCTTTTTAATGTGCTTGTTTTGAGTAATTATGAAATCTCATTTTGAAATTCAAGCAATAGAAAGTAAAAGTAAATGTTGACCACACACATATATCTAACCTCCCCCTCTTCCTCCTAAGGCATAATATCTATTTTGTGTTTGATGTGTATCATTCCAGATCCTCTATTTGTATATGTTTATATAAGTATATAAATACAGTACACATATGGAATTTTTGTTATATTAAATTTTTTTCACTGTATTTTTGAAAGGTAATACACTCACAAGGTTCAAAATAGTACACAGTTAAAAGTCTCCCTTCTATCACTGTCCCTCAGCCACCCAGTTCCCCTCCCTGGAAGCCACAATTGTCACAGCGTCATGAGTTTATTCTGTATCCTATCAGATTTTATACATATAAAAGCACCAAAACAGTGTGCTTTTTCACACAAATAGCAGTATTCTGTACACACTGTTCTGCAACCCATTTCTTTTACACCTGCTATAAGTTGGAGATCATTCCACGTAATATAACTTGGAGAGGGGGAGCTTCCTCATTCTCCTTTTAAAAAGTGGCATGGGATTCCATTGCATGAAAGTACCATAATTTATTTAACCAAATTGTCTCTGATGGAAACTTAGTTTTTCCCCTTCTCTTGCTAATACAAATAATGTTGTAATGAAAAGCTTTGTATACATGTCACTGGCACATGTACTAAAAATATGTATAGGATCAATTCCCTGAAGTGGGACTGCTAGATACAAACACAGGCCTTTTGATAGATACTGCCAAATTGCCATTTTAAAAGTTTTATTTACTTTACATTCTCCTCACCAATAAATGAGAGTAACTCTTCTTCCACAGCATAGTCCTTGTGAAATGTTATTAGAATTTTTTATCTTTGGCAAGACTTTTAAACTTTTTCTTTCTGTGTTATCCTTTGCTATGTTTTTGTTTCTTTGATTTTATGAGGTTTATACAGGGAAGATTCCATGACTATCTAAGTTACATGGGACATATAGTAACCTCTGTTCCTTCAGTATGGAATGGGAGTATGGAACTTTTGGCTGCAAAGAAATTAGGAGAAAATAATTTTATGTTTACGTTCTCACTGTGCACTTCAAAGACAATAAAGTTCAGCAATTTGGATCACTTGAATGATGAGAACTGAACTCTTACACTTGGTAGTATTTTAAGCATTATTTACTTTGCTTTAGTTCCAGTGATTGAGATGGGAAGTGTAGGATTTTAACTTGTTCTAGGTCATAGTACAAATCTATACCTGGCTTAATCATAGAACTAGAAACAGCTGGCTCCCATTTCTGCATTCCATGGTTTCATAGAAGTTATGAATACTTTATAGATGGATGGAAAATGAGGACTCATGAGGTCAAATGATTAAGTCAAAGTCATTCAGTAGATTGGCAGAATAGGGACTATACTATAGATTTCATAAAAATCTAGAGTTGGATGAGAACATAGAGATCATCTAGTTCAACATCCTCATTTTATAGACAGGTAACTGAGGCCTAGAGAGGGTAAGTGACTTGATCAGGGTTACCCAGCAAAGTTACGGAAACACTGGGACCAGAATCCAGGTTTCCTCACCCCCAGTCCAGAGCTCTTTTCCCTAGAGGAGTGGTTCTCAAATTTTAGTGTGCATCAAAATCACTTTGGGAGATTATTAGAATGCAGATTCCCAAATTCTACACCAAAATATTCTGAATCAGTAGTCTGTGATGGAGTCCAAGAACCTACCAACTTCCCCAGGTAATTCTGAGGCAGAAGAACCATGAGAAATAGGGCCTTAGAGGTTATTGGGTTGTTCAGCTTACCATCCCAAGGAGGAAGCTCCTCTCCAAAATCCTTGACAGGCAATTACCATATCTCTGTCACATTTCATCCTGCAGTGAGTATTATGGCTAGGCTTTGTGAGTCTCAATTTTATGTTTCTCCATATATATATAGTCTTCCTAAGCTATGGTCCCAAATGTATAGAAGTCCATTCTTTTTCTGTCTTAAAAATGAGCAACATATTTCTCTATAATTACTAATTTTGTACCTAGAATAATCATCCCTATAAACTGCAAGGACACCGAGTCTTTCTTTTTAAGTGTGATGCTCTATTGAGATTTCAGATAACTAGAGAAATCAAACAGCTTATGAACTGTATCCCTGAACTGCCACTATTCATTGACATTGGAATGAAATTGGAAAACATCTTTTTTAAGCAAACAGGCAAAGTAGAGCCCTTTGCTTATTTGGTAGTGATCACAGTCATGGGGCATCTGAAGCCGCTGAAGCTGTTTACCACATGAAAGCCAAAAGCCTTTCAAGTGTTCTTTTTTTCCTTCCATAATGTACAAAGGTTTTCAGGAGAAGGAGAAATCAGCCATAAGGAAATGACCAACTGTCAGGGAAAAATCCACCTCAGCATGCAGTTGTTCTGAATTTTGTCACTGTGTTGCAATGTCAATATCCCATTGTGGGAATAGCTTCTGAAATGAGAATGACTACTTGAGCTTTTTCCCTGAAATAATGACTCATAAACTTCTTGATAAAAATTATGGAATCGAAACCACATGGTGGAAGCAGCATAAAGTTGTTATTAGCAACATCTTTGGTCAGCAGGATGCCTTTCTAGGTATTGCTCCCAGGGACTAATGAGAAGTGAATGATTTTGTGTGTATGTGTGTGCATGTGTATACATGCGTATACATTCTTGTGTGAATAAAAATGAATGCAGCAGATAGACTGCTTTGAATGCAGCAAGATCAGCACCAAAATGGGGAAAATAGGAAAATAATAATGCTTTACTATATATACTCAGACACATAAATGCTAAGGCTGTTGCTGTGGCAATTATCTAGCATACCTTTTTTCTTTAAAAAGCTATTGTTGGAAACTATGTTTAGTTTAAAAAGACACTATTTTCTGTAGTATCTTTTATATCAATTGAAAAGCATTTTAGTTGGTAGAAGGGGGTTATGGGGAGATGGGTGCACCTTTCAATTACATACTATAATTCAAATAGGAATATCAGCTGTAGCTTTAGCAATTGAAAGAGTCCTCACTAAAATTCCCATTTTGGCTCAATATAGAAAACCCCAGATTATGATCAGGGGAAAATTGTCAACTAGATAGTCACTTCTCCCTTTGAATGGGATACCTAGTAAAGAGGTCTTGACTCTAATATTTGACTTCACTGCTTTACTTTACTTTCACTGCCTTAAAAGCTCTAACAAAGAGCTGAACCTTGTCTCTCAGCTATTTGAAAGAATGTTTGGAGAGAATGGGGTTAGAGGCCCATAGGTTGTAATCAAGGAGCTAGGGACAATTCACAAGAATATAAGATTGGCTCAAGAGTTGTTTCTATGATTTAGCCACCCCTAGGAGAATACAAGATTTTCTAAATAGTTGTTTCTAAGGTTTAGCCAGCTACCCCCAGGAGTCTCTCTGATGGTGAGATCAAATTCTAGAGCCAAAACATGGCATCATGTTTTGAAAGAGCATGGTTTTCCTTATTGATACCAACTTCAAAAGTTAGGGTTGTCTCCAAGTATACTGATTTCCCCTAGTTACCCATCAGATATCTACCACTCATCAATTTATATAAACTTTTATGAAGCTGATTATGTCTTCAGTCTACACCAATTCTGGGGGGTGGTAAGTCTCATAAGTTTGTCAGCCACTGTGCAAAAGCAGGGCTTCATTTTAGTTGCCTTAAACTATTTTTCACTTTCAAAGAGTTTTCTAGTCCTGTGTATTGGAGTTTGGTAAACAACACAAAGCTAACAAGATATATAGCCTTCGTATGTTTACAATCTTGGATTATAGCCCCTTTCAGTTTTTGTTTTTCCATGCTGAAGAGGCCTCTCTTTTTGGTCCGCTTTGGAGATATATATATATATATATATATATATATATA